GTACACAAAAGAGCGAATTCTAGGGTAATTTAGGCATAGATTCTGCCGCTGTAGATCTCGAATCCACTGAATTAGAGTTTTTTCTTCTTCTAGGGATAGGCGTTGAGTCCTGCGATTAGCTTGCGTACGTGGGTTACGACCTCTGCGTCGGTAATCCACAGTCGTTTTTGAAACCCTGTATTTGGCAGCTACCTTGCGAATTGACTTCTCAGCACCTATATCTAGGTCATTTAACGCCTGCTGAATCAATTGCTCTTGGTTTGAGGCCATTTGGACGTAAATTAGTGGAGTAATAAGCGTTAGAAATTTGAGGGTGGTTTTTTGTGGGTGACCCGAAATTGGCCCGCTTTGTGGGGTGGCCCGCTTTGTAGTGTTGGGCGTTAGCACGTAATAGTCCGCCGTATACATGATCTCTTCAGCCTGATAAAATGAATACGATGTATTCCGTACTCCCCTTGACTTCTCCTTCCACCGAGGAGCATCTATTTCACTAATATGTCAGGCCTCGAGGTGCTCGGCGGCATCAGTGCAGTGATTGCGATCATTGACGGCTCGGTCAAGGTCTGGGAGAGTGCACGTAAAGACCTCAAGTTCAGCGCGACCTTCGAAACCGTAGGTAATCGACTACCCATTCTACGAGACATCCTCCAAACCTGCCTTGAGCAGTTCGAGCCGATCAAAACATCCTTACCTGCCGATGCTGCCCATGGTCTGGTGAAGACTGTTAACAATTACAAGAGGAGGGCTGAATCACTAGGAATCATCTTCTAAGAAACGATCCTAGGCGAGGATGACTAGTGGTATAAGCGGTATTACAAGGTGGCTTGACGACTAGGCAAGGGGAGCAAAGTCGAAGAGTTGATGAGGGCAATCATAGAGGATGCACAGAATCTGGTTAACTACTACGTAGTGAAGTTAGCAAGCCTAGCGTTATACACTAAGCTTAAAGAGATTGCTAACAAGATGGCTTTACTAAAGCTATTATTACCTATGGATGAAGCCGATATACAAACCTTTTACAACTATAATAATATATAGATTATTAGTACTAGTAACAGTATATAACACAATAATATCAATCAAAGTAGCGGCATAATATATAGTTTTATAAGTATTACAGGCAACTCTGTTTTCGATCTAGGTAAGAACTAGTTAGATTTAAGAGAAGGTATTTATATAGCTGCGTAGACTAATTAATAAGTCTTTAATATATAAGTAACATTTTTCGTATCTATAATAATATTAATCCTGCTCTGTCTAGTTTTTGTTAAACAGCCTAAAACCCTATCTTTACTATTATTAATAGTGCCTTTTTATTACAATAACGATTTTGTCAATTACGGGACATTAGATAATAATAAGACTCTACTAGAACGCATTAAATAATAATTTAGACCTGCTACATTAAGAGTTACGCTTATAGGGATTAGTAAAGCTAGGTAAGTTGATTATTTTTTGCTAGACACTATCTACTAATAAGCCTATAGTAAGTCCTAGCTTAGCATTAAATATTGCTATCGCCTCTACAAATAGTCCCCTAAAACGTGAGTGTTTTGGATTTATATAAGCAATGCTGACTAAATTGAGCAGGGATACTATAAGATAACAGAATAAGTGAAAATTCCTAGCTATAATAATCTAAAACAAAACATATTTGAGTTAGTAGTAAGATAACTACAGGATAAATCTTAAGGGACATAAGTGTTAGTTCTAGATAACTTAGATAAAGACAATATTCTTTTAGTCTTTTAAGCAGCTATATTAAGAGTGTAGTTTAATAATAGAGATGATTAGCTTAGACAACTATTGTTAGTATATCTTTTATAAAGCCAAAACAGGGCAATCTTGATTATAACGCGAATAAGAAGCATAGTAACAAAGATTATTAAGCCTTAAGATGTAATTATAGTTGATCTGATGACTAATATAGATGTGATAACACTCTTAAAGAAAAAGCTAGATATACCCTTTAATAATAATGACTTATAAAAGCTAGTATATATATTAAAGTATATGCCGCTAGCAATTATATAAGCGGTAGCATACATCTAATAAAGAGAAGCAAGGTATAATATCTAATAATATATCAAAGCATTTTAGCAAAATAAGAAAAAAAAAATAAGTCTTCTTAATTATAAAGCGGGTTATCTTTAGCGAGATCCGGAAGTAAAGAACTCTATTATTATTATATAGCAGATATCATTTAATGATATCTGAGAGAAGTAGCCAATATTAGCTAACCTACTATTATTGATATGCTATTTCGACCAGCAGGGTATCCCTAAGGAAGTCTTGAACATCTAATTACAACAAGAAAAGATCCAGAATTTGTTGAGGCTAAATGATAATAATGTTAAAGATAATAAGAGCAATGAAGGTAAGGACATTAAAGATGATGATACATCTGAGACTAGTAATGATAATAGGTTTAAGGAGGCTATAGACCAGCTTTTAAACTATTTATTTGTGTCTCTTAGAAAGGATAAGACATCTTTTGAAATATATAGACTTGTCTAGCTAGCGATATAAGAGTGGCTTATGATGCATAAAGAGGATAAGAAATGGAAGGCACAGTTTAGTAGGAACCTTAACGCAGTGCTTCCAAATGGCAATTATAAGAACTAGGGCTGGTGTGAGATATTCTTCTTATATGCAAAGTCGGCTAAGAGGCATTAACCGACAGATAACAGATCAGAATAAAAATAGGCCCAAATGTTACAGAAGACAGCATGGTATACAGAGGCTAAGGGAGGTTATCTTGAAGCTAAGAGGATATGTAACAAGTCAGTTAAAGCGCTACAGAAAATACTTAGTAAAGAGAATGTCGAGACATTATATAGTTTAGGAATGCTAGCATTAATATACCAGAATCAAGGACGCTAGAAGGAGGCAGAGGAGCTATTTGTGCAGGTAATAAAGATAAGGAAGAGAGTGCTAGAACAGGAACACCTACATACGCTGACCAGCATAAGCAATCTGGCATCAACATACCGGAATTAAGGACGCTGGAAGGAGGCAGAGGAGCTAGAGGTGCAGGTGATAGAGACGACAAAGAGAGTGCTGAGACAGGAACACCTACAGACGCTGAGCAGCATAGGCAACCTGGCATTGACATACTAGAATCAAGGACGCTGGAAGGAGGCAAAGGAGCTAGAGGTGCAGGTGATGGAGACGACAAAGAGAGTACTAGGACAGGAACACCCACACACACTGGCTAGCATAGCCAACCTGGCATTAACATACCGAAATCAAGGACGTTAGAAGGAGGCAGAGGAGCTGGAGGTGCAGGTGATGGAGATGAGGAAGAGAGTGCTAGGACAGGAACACCTATATATGCTGACCAGCATGCATAACCTAGCATTTACTATAAAGGAGCAGGGTAGAAACTGGAAGGCCATTAAACTTATAGCAGAATGCGTCTAATTGTGTAACCAAGTCCTTTATGCTGAGCATCTTGATACGCTTTCTTCTGCTGTAATATTGGCCAAGTAGTAAAGGTTCGAATGAATATAACGCTATAAATCTTGTGAATATAATGCTATAGTTTCTTCTTAATTATATTATACTACTCTAATATAATAAAGCGGCTTGATCATAGTAGATCACCCCTTGAACAACAATATGTGACAGTAAGGGGCGGTACTATGTCTGGGGTATGTGTCTTCACAAACTACTTTTCTTGCCAAGCCGTAAGGGTTCTAATACCTGCTCTTCCAAAAGTACCTTTCCCTGCAACGGAAAGTCTCTGAGACTCATGAATAATCCACCATGTTCGGCTTTATGTTCAATCAGATACTGGATTGGTGTAGAATGCTCTATTTGACAGCATAGGCGACACTACATAGGAGATGAAGAACAGTGCTAGCAAGAAATTTCTCTCAGTCTAATATTGACCAAAAACCACCGCTTGTGCGTGATCATATATTCCTCCTTCTACATCGCAGTGTGGCTCTTCTCGAGGAACAGGGTCTACATGTGTGTTCGCAAATTTGATTTACAATATTCGTAAGAGAAACATTATAGTTGGTAGTGAAGAATATGGAGCTAAGCCCTAGGTAGTAGTAGTATAATCTTGTTTATTGTCTAATACAGACTAAAGAGCCTATGTAGACATGAAGGATTTTTGAACTCTTTTCGAAACAAATCAAGGAATCTTCTTATGCGCTCAAGACACGTACTAGATATTGCACACTTTCACAAACCCTGGCTTTGCACAAACCGCAATGCCAAGTAATCAAATGACTAGTCGCAACCACGCCTCACCTGTCTCTTGGATCCACCTCAACCGGACGCTCGAAGGAACAAATCTGATGTACATGCTTCCGCTACCTCGATCCGTACGCTAGAACCGACCATAACCTCCTCACAAGATTGCTAAGAAAAGAGTTTTTGTGGCAGAGAAAATTGGTGGTTGAGGTGGGATTCGAATCCACGCACGCGCCATGAAAAACCTACACCTTCTTATAGGAAAATGGGTGTGCCCCAGTCATGCGTTACTGCCACTCCGCCATGACCCCAACCGCCAAGCCCTAGGTACCAATCTAATTTTCACCTCACGGGGATTTGGAAGGGTTGTTTACCACCTCGGGATGTGGGTTACTGGATTGTCGTACAGGGCTCTTGTTCTTTACAATGCGGTTAATGCCGCCCTTGCCGCCGCCCAGCAGCTGCAGCAGGTTCCAACCCTGCATGTAGCTGGCCAGCAATTGGCGCCCCTCTTACATAGTCCGCAAGGTCGCGCGGTACTTGCTCTAGTAGGTCAGAATGTACGTTTCGTACGAGATGCCATCACACCAGAGTGAGTCCTTACCCATCGGCCTTCGTACATAAATGCCATTCTCATACAATCTCGAGGAGTCGTACAGAATCCTCCTTGTGCAGCTTGTGCTGCCATCCCTAGACCAGGCTTTCGTCCGTTTCTAGAGTGTCGTCGTATACCAGGACACTTTACAGGATGTTGCGGGAACTGCAAGTGGCGTGACCACGGAGCCCGTTGTACAGCTTGTGATAATGATGATGATGATTCGTCTGAGGGACCAAATAATGATTCTGATGTTGAGACTGTTGGCGTACAGGCTATCGAGGGGCCTGGTGCGGCGGCAGGGAATCCTATTGTGATTCAATAAGGTACGTACGAAGCTTTCTTATTTTTGTTATAAGCGTATTGCATCAGCACTGCTTAGTCGTACGGGATGTGTACGACACTTAGATGAGAACTTCTACTTCTACGTAGTATCTGGGACTAGTAGCCGAAAGGTGAAGCCAAAGAAGTTCATTATGTAGAGTTGAGTGCGGAGTTCAAAATTTTGATGTGTCCTCAACCCAATAACAGTCCGCCGTAGTCGTCAACCCAGTAATAGTCCGCCGTAGGTTGCCCTTTCCCTGATTTTCTTCCCCCTCACCAACATAAAGACCAAAAACCCACCCCTTCCCCCCCCAAAACAAAACCCCCCTTCTTTTCATAGAAGGAAGGGAATACAAATGTTGAAGATAGCTTGCGAAGTGACATATATACATAAAGGAGTTTGAGACTTCCTTAGAAGCAATAATATATCACTATCCAAATGTTGCTGTACGGCAGTGTTAAAGTTGCCAAGATACGTAACTAATTAAGGTCACCGTTCTCTATCTAATTGGCCACCGACTGGGGCCTTCCGAATCGTAAGAGCGGGGAGCTTTGGTATAACAAAATCTTACGTAGTTTGTAAAACAGAGTCTTTTTGAATGCTTGTGCAGCGCCTTTCGAGTGCTTCTCGAGTGCTTTTACATTGAGCGATATTCTGCAGCCTTAGCGCTCTAAAACACATCTTAAATTTCAACTAAATTAAGAAGAAACCAATGGCCAATTTTGAACAATCAGAAAACCGTAAACCATCAGAAGGACGAGGGCCGAGTCCAAATATTCATGGCCGACTTTTGCCCAGACTCAGACTTAAATGTCGGCTCTTCTTATAAACTGTTATTATAAAATAAATTGCTAGTTTAGATATTCCTGAAGTGCCATATAGATCAAATACAATCTGATAACAAGCCAAACAGTAACCGTTCTGAGAGTATTTAGGCTAGCTTCGTTGCTGCCAGTTAAGCTAGGGACAGCCGCCGACGGCGTTATTGGCGCTGAAGGCGCTGAACAGCTAGCAGTCTCTGTAAGTACACCGGTGACAAATATTGATTCTTGTTGTCAAACATACAATTCTATATTTCTGGATGTTAGGATATCTGAAGAAGCTGTTAGGTCCAAGCTGTCTGGTCCCCTATCAAGAATCATCGTGATGTTGCCGTTCTTACAGCTGAAGATCCGCACACAATTCCAGTCTATAAAAGTCCTTGAAGGGATGAGATGATCGTGTCAGATTCAGATCAAGGACTGACCCAAAGATAGCATTCCTCACCTTTTCTCTTAGCATTTTGAATCATCGCGTTCTGTAGACCGAGATCTGATTTTGTGTGCCTTCAGTTTCGTGTGTTGCTAATTTTAGTCTACTCTCAAACCGGCGACTTACTCTTATAAGTATAAGGGGCACGATTGTAGAACAATCTTCTATCAAATTTCATGGATAATGGTGGCAAAACCAAAGTTATCACTTCCGCTGCCCGGAACTTAGGCAAGAACCCTCTATTACTCCTACCTAGAAACGCGAAAACCTTGACAGCAGCTGTCGGGGGTCTGCTGAGTTTGTCTGGATTGATCTCGCCGGACAACCCAATCTCCCAGGCAGGTGGCGAACTTAATCCCTCACTCGCCGGGCTTCTTAACCTCGCGGAACCACTTATTTCCCACGCAAGCCCTGGATCAGACTTATCTTTTGATATTGGAGAACTTGGTCGGCTGTCCTCAGAACCTGAATCCGGTGAAACATCCGGTAACCTTCCTTTCTTTCTTGAGGCCGCCTCTACCCTTGTACCGCTTGCAGCTGGCCGGCGGCGGTCTCGCTCTGTGTCTTCATCGTCGTCAAGTTCCGATTCTACAGAATTCGACTTTGACATACATAGTGCTTCGCGTCACATATACTTCCCAAAGTTCCGTGCTAAGAATCACCTCTGGCATCTGCCAAATCTTCATAAGGCAACGCTAGACATTGTCCAAGCTGTCTGGAAGCTTTATTACAAATCAGCTTCTTCCTCGGAGTTCGAAAGGAAAGTAGCCGCTGCGAACCACATTATCCAACAGGCTCTCGGTGGGTACGTATCGAGCACCAGAGATAAGAGTATCGACCCTGAGTTCTACGGCCAAGTGCGGGTAGGACACTTCTTAGCCGTACGGACCGCTCTTGACTCGGTCACAGATCGCCTCACAGAGATACAGAACGGTGATTATCACAGCAAAAGAACTGTATCTATTATTCAGGGGTGTGGAAGGCAGCTCTTACATATCCAAGAAGTCAGCGAACAAGTAGCTCACACCTCAGGGGCTATCTCCGACTTTGTGTTCGATCGCGTCCGATACCTTGCTTTCAGCTTCCTGGTCCTTCATGTTGAGAAGGCATTAGCGATTCTTCATAACTTGCAATACGCGCTCGTCAATCCTGACAACCTTTGCCTCGCAAAATTTCTGTGTACTCTCTACAAGTGTATTGATGAGCACCATGACGCAGCTACCATCAAAAGAGTAAAAAACGAAATACTACGAACATCTGAGAGTTCCGAATTTCTATCAGATAATCCAGAATTTTACAATAAATCTGTCTCCGACTGGGATGAGCCAAACAAGGACGATCCGCTCTCAAGCTGCTCAAGTCCTGGCATAGCCTCTGACACCACAGCCAGCATATCAAGAAATCACCGTTCTAGGAGAATGTCGCCGAAAAATTTGTTGAGGGGTCTTGATCCGGGCAACATCGTACCGGAAGGGGAAAGAAGAAGCAGATCGGGATCGCAATCGCAATCGCAACCAGCCAGAGCTCAATCAGCTCCGCCTTCAAAGGGCAAGGCCAAGAAGCCGGAGGTCAGCTCCCATCTTGAGGACGGGGAAGAAATCAACTATCCCTTACTACCTCCTGCACAAGAGTCTACGGTCCAGAAAAGGCCTGTGCGAGTTGGGGAGATGGAAACCGGCTCTCCTTCGAGGCAGGGGGAGAATGATACCCGTCAAGGGCTAGAACCAAGTGATCATATACGTATCCCTGGGGGGTTTGATGACTCGGTTCCCGAAAACGATCTAAATGAAGGTAGTCAAGGTAGAGGAGAAGAGAACAGAAGATGGAAGGGTAAGGACCGTGAGTACAACGACGTTCCCGACCCCTACGACCGTGAAGGAAAAGAGAAAAGAAGAGGGAAGGGTAAAGGCCGTGAGTACATGGGGAGATGGAAACCGGCTCTCCTTCGAGGCAGGGGGAGAATGATACCCGTCAAGGGCTAGAACCAAGTGATCATATACGTATCCCTGGGGGGTTTGATGACTCGGTTCCCGAAAACGATCTAAATGAAGGTAGTCAAGGTAGAGGAGAAGAGAACAGAAGATGGAAGGGTAAGGACCGTGAGTACAACGACGTTCCCGACCCCTACGACCGTGAAGGAAAAGAGAAAAGAAGAGGGAAGGGTAAGGGCCGTGAGTACAACGACAGCCCCAGCTTCTACGATCGCAACAGCCACTACGACCGCGGCGGGCCTGGCCACTACGACCGTGAAGGAGAAGAAAAAAGAAGAATGAATGGTAAGGGCCGTGGATACAACGACGGCCCCGGCTTCTACGATCGCGACAGCCACTACGACCGCGGAGGCCCCGGCCGCTACCACAAAGACGGCTACGACAGCTACAGCGACAGTGCGTTTGAAAGTGAGATCGATAAATCTGGGGAGGGATCTAGTGAAAGCGCGGATGATAGTGTCGAAGAGGTGATGCCGTCTACTGAAAGGACGCAGTACAACCCCCGCACACGCTCTCTTCAGGAAATTGAACGCTCTATGGGCAAGAGTTTCCCATCAATGAATCTCACCGATGGAGTAGTCGTAGGCTGGAACTGGGTAGGTCGTATTGGTACGCGGGTTTGCGTCTTATACAGGAAAGGTGGCGCCCAAACGGGGCGCGTCGAAGCTGGTTCTTTACATTCCTTTGAGAAGTCAGCCGCGACAAATATTGCAGCTCAGATGCAGTCGAATGTTCAGAATAGGTCTACCGAAGATGCATCAATGAGTGAGCCTTATTACAACAAAGATCATGTGAAAGGTCTCGGCACGGTATTTTGGGACGCTGGTGAGGCCTCTGACCCGCTCTCTGTTTTACAACCGAGTAAGCAACCTGGAACTGTGTACCCATGGATATATATCGAGGTGGAATGGAAGCACACGAAACGAATCACGCTTGAGCCTCGATGGACGCTTCCCCGACTGCTGAAAAAATCTAAGTACTGGGTAGCTTGCATGATCTATAGCACAGCAGAACAGCAAGAAAGGGCCATTCAGAAGGCGCTGTGGCCTCGACGAAAGATTCCCAAAGCAGTGCTTCCATCAGATCCATACACCGAGAACCCTTACTCGCGACGCAGGCGCAGTCTTAGTATGGCGCGGAAGGCTGTGGAAGACCAAACCGACTCTGATGAAAGCGAATACCTGGCAGACGAAGAGGCGAGAGAGGAGGAGGAAGAAGAAGAGTATAAGGAAGGGGAGGAGAAGGGACGGCAAGCGCGATCGAAGACACACGACAGTGGTTACGCTTCAGTTGAACCAGCCGGGCCAGCCTCATACCGCAAAGATGCACCAAGAAAATCAGACAGAGAGGGCTCGCGTTGGAGATCTCAGAGTTGGAACTCTCATGAGTCGCATCGTAGTCGTGACAACGCCTCCCCTGAGCGAAACTTCCCAGAAAGAAGATATCGTTCTCGGTCAAGTATTGAGGAAGTCCCTAGGGAGACAGCCGACGGAAGGGGTAGAGCCAATCAATCTTCCCAGCCAAGGTCGGGCCGTGAGTATTCGTCGCCCAGTCGATATCGATCTTCTTTGCGGGATATGTGGCCGCAGCGTTCGCCAAATTCAGCTACGAGCAGTAGTCAGCTTCACAGCCGAAAGTCTGCAATGAAGGATAGTGATAGGCCGCGCAGGCGCGACCGATCAGTCAGCTTTCGATCTTAAGAATCAAAGCAGCCAATTTGCTTTTTAATAAGGTTGTATAGAACGAGTTCAGATGCCACAACATAGCGTAATTTGATAACCTTGCTGGAAGGCTTGTAGTGTTCAATGAATATCGTAGACCCTACCAAAAAAATTTGTGACTTAAGATTAGATCTTGAATTAATCAAAATAACTGAGTCGTACTCGATTGCCATAGCTCATCAACATGTTATGACTCAGGAGTGAGCAAGATAAGTATATTTCTTTGAGAAACCAAAGACAGCTTGTCAAGGCAGGGCACGGGCAGGGCGCGCCTGTCTGCGTCAAAACCAAGACCAATTGGATTAGATGTCTTATAGACGCCCACAGGACGTAGATAGTATCAACACACACATCTACACAGAAATGTTGAACGGCGAAATCAAACGGTGGCTCAAACGTGGCGTATTGTGCGACGTTGCACCAGCGTTTTGTTACAGATTTGCTACACATTTCGCCTGAGATTTGCATGTATTTTTGGTATGCACGTTTCGCGCTACTTGGCTTGATTTGGCAATTTTGTACGTATAAATGCTCTCTCCTTGCGCGCTGAATTAGATAGAATAACTTACTATTAGACGCTATTCAATTGTAAGCTCAGTTCGACAAGAAATCATACTTCGTGTGTCCTTCGTTCGTTTTCTTTGATCAGACCAGTAGTGCTTGATACAGCTCATAATATTAAAGATTCATTTTCGTGTTCTAGATGTTGATGTGATTGTGTGTCCCTCAGCAAACCAGATTACTATACAGTGGCTGTAGATACAAATGGTTGTCGCTAGCCTCATTACGTTTATATCTTAATAGCGTCTCCGAGTAACAACCACATAGCAGTATTGATGAACTGTTAGCTAGAAGCAAAACAGCAAATGCGGTATTACCAATTAACTATAATTTATAAACCTAGTGAAAGACCAGAATGAAAGAGGGCTTACATGAGTGACCAGTAAATAGTGGAATAGCTTTCCAGATTGAGATAATTGACTTTCGTTCAGCATTAGAAGCTTGTCCCATGATGGTTTAGTGATTTGAAGAATTATAACCACCAGCAGTGCTATCAGAAGGTCACAAATCAAGGGTGCACTACTACAAAAGTGGAAAGTCCTTGTAAGTTTACTGCCGGAGAGCGTTTTCCACAGAAAAAGGCGTTGTGGAACACTAGTGCAAAAGGTCAACAAGAGGACAAGAAGATACTGTCGAGGTTCCATCTTTAATAAATCTAATAAGAGTCGAGTGTTTGGTTCTAGAAGAAGCGTACAAGTAAAATTCCACAAGTTCTTGCTCTTATATTATATTAATTCTATTAATAAGTAGCTAAATTAGGACCACTACAGTTCCATTTCCAGAGCAGTCTATCTGTCGTGAAACGGTTGAAAATCTGATTCCTGATAGCGAAGTGTTTTATCATGGTTGGTAAGGCGACACACTGTTCCTCGAATATGATCACGAATAACAGGCCGTGCTGAAACTGGCGGCACGTTAGGAGAAAAAGGAATCTACAGGGTATGGATGTCTTTACCAAAGATGAAAACATCCTTTAGCCCGTTCGCAAGGACATCGTCTACGCAAGCAAATAGTTTGTCTGTCCCTTCACCGTAACTCTCTATACTGTTATGTGTTCCCCAGTAAGCATTGACTGGATTTTTTTTAGAGTGTTTGCTGAAGAGCGTGATTCGGAGAATCTCGGAAATAGTCAGCATTAGATAGAAAGCATTAAATTACCTTACGTTTCTCTCCTCATCCGCAGCCAGTAGATCTGTTAGTATGTCAGGTACCCAATCGCGAGTGTCTAAAAAATTCTTAGCAAGGCGAGTGAGTGATGAGTAAGGCAAGAGTGGCGCTACTATACCGTCAGACTCAATTTCCCACATAAGATGAATTGATCTGATCCTTGTCTTCTGCTTTTCAACCTGCTGGAGGATATCCCTGGCTACTGGAAGTTGTGCAGCTATCCCGATCCCACTCGCAACCAGAACGGCATGGCTGAGATCAGAAGACTCAGCAAGTCGGCCATACGGTCCGTCGATCCATACAAGAAAGGGCTCACAGCCAATCTGGGGCCGCAAGAGCTTGCTCGTGAAGCCGTAGCGGGGCCGAGCAAGTAGCATGATTGAGCAGGCTTTCCCGTATTCGTCTTCGTCCCACCACGTGATCATGAAGGGATGTGTTTGGAAAATCGACCAGAAATCCACCCCAGGCATCCATAAGTATAGATATTGCCCAGCTTGAACTTTTATAGGACTTCGTGGTCTAATGGTTATCCTGATTACTCCATTCCTAGCCTCCACAAAAGCGCGCGTGGATGGTTGTCCAATAAAGGTATTTCGAAGGAAACAGATTGAATAATTCATAACACAGATCAAAGCGTAGAGGCTCCCGGCACCAAGGACGTAGAAGCGGCTGATAGACTTCGAGAGAAAAAGATGTTGCCACAGCGTTGCAGTTGCCAGAACTGCCAGGGCACGATGTAGTTTCGAAAAGAGTTCGAAGAATGGTCTCTGCATCCATACGGAAACGATTATACCAGCGAGGCCGACTGCGCTCTGTTTGACAATCAGTGATAACCACAGAGATGCTGGCGTATGGCTAACAAGGAAACCATAGAGGTCAAGCAGGTTCGTCCAAGTAAATTTGAACGTCCTGGTTGCGAGGATGGTATGTACAGCAGCCTGGACGGAGGTAAGCAGCCCAAATGCTGTATGTGCTGATGATACTGTGCGGATGTCCAGTCCTAACAAGTCTGCTGCTATGCTCATGCGGCCAGAAAACACTAATGGAACGAAATTTGCAGCTGAGAGAAGACCTGCTCGAGAAGATGCCTCAGATGCGCTGGTCACACCCCAAAGATTAAAGAACACCGTTGTTGCGACGTAAGCGAGCAGGACAAGGAGATGTAAGCGAGTAATAGGCCGAAGGAGTCTCAGTCTTCGATATACAAAAGGGTATACCAGATGCTTCAGAAGGTAGGTAGATACATGTCGCTGTAAAATTTTCCTAATAGTAGTCCACATCCGAGGCAGCAATGGTAGAAGAACAGCTCCGCATACAATAATAAAGTAAATAAGAAGAAGATCCATTGTCTTTCACATATGAAAATGGTTCTGATTGTCCCTTGATGGCTTATATAAAGTATTTGCTTACTGGTTGTTGAAACATACTTGAAACGGTAGGTTCCAAGAACAGATAACCCTTACCCCTGTAACGCCATTTATAATGACTAGGCCATCCACTTTTCATTTCTACGTTTTCTCATTTACACAAAACTGTCCTCTCTCACTATGGTCAAAGCAGAAACTTATTCTCCCACAAACTTGTCTCCCTCTCGAGCCTCGACGTTACACCCAACGACTCAAGACCCAACCACTCGAGCATCAACGTCACACCCAGCATCTCGACACCCAACCACTCAAGCATCAACGTCACATCCAGCATCTCGACACCCAACCACTCAAGCATCAACGTCACACCCAACAAATCGTATAGCGAAAGAATGTTCTCGCAAACGATGTAAAACGGTGCTGCGGAAGATAAAAGAATTACATACGAAATATAATATTCAAGCATACCTTGAACTTAAGGATGATAGTGGTAAATGTTACTCTTATTCAACACGGGATGATGTATCAAGGCCACAGACCAACATGGTCACTACATCCACCCTCAGACATTAAAGTATGAAGCTCATAAGACCTACAGATTTTTACGATGCCATTTCCGGAGGAGGATGATTTATCTATGAACATCGAACAGACTATATTAGACTCTCCCCAGCGGGAGGTTGACCTTCGCTGCTCGTCGGAACCTTGTCTAGCAATGGACTTCATCCAGCCACCAGTTATGGAGAGATCTCCTATGAACGACAACCCAATGACCTTTCACACTGTAGCCCACCAATAGTCTTCGTAGACCTTAAGTAGATTAGATTTTGATGTGCTCTGTATCATTCTCCGGATTTGCTGATGCAGCGCCATCATCATCATTGCAACTCGGTGGTATGTTGTAACTTCTATTGGTTGTGTTACTTTTGAGCGTTCTTAGCCACTGTTGAATGCGTAGATTAAGACTAGAGACTTGGTCTGAAAGATGATCACGCTTCTTGAAGACAATCACGATACACATTTTGTTGTTCTTATAATTCAAGTGAAATACTCTATTACTATTAAATAAATTGTTAAGAAATAGTAGATTTATATGAAAATATAAATGTAAGTCTAGTCACAAAATCTGATTTTATGATCATTATAAACAGTTTTAACAAGACAGTAACGTCACACCCAACGACTCGTAACCCAACCACTCAAGGCGGCAAGATCGCAGTATCGCCCCTTATCGCCCCTGCGGTCTTACCTCTACGGTCCCTGCGCGTGAGGCGGGTGGCATTTCAACAGAAGTACAAAAGATTGCTGTCAGTTCGCTTTGATATATATCGCCTTTTTGTACTTGGAAGAAATAAGGATGGCAGGTGAGGGGCCTCCAGGGCTTGGACTATGCTAGCAGCTAAGGAAAAGAGTGAGGGGCTGCTGCGAAGAGACATGTCTGCTCCCATAAATAGTGTGATCAACATCCCAACACGAGAGTAAGAACCAGACCATGATCAACGGCAAATTCGGCCACACATAAATTGGCGTCATCCCTAGCTTTGGTACAATGTGGATGGTGTGCGTCAAAAGAAGTAAGAATTTGTCTTCTATTGCTAGATGAATACCCGGCATTTGTCTGTGAAAACCTGAGCATGAGCAAGGATCTTTGTTGAGGGGAAGATTTAGGTTGGCTTGGTCCTGACTTTGGGGAATGAAACACCAAGTGGGCCCACCTCTCAATTTTTGGACCCTTTCTTGACGCGGGGTGAGTCCGGGCGGCTGTTATCCAATAATTGGTGGCTTTTAAGTGGAGCCAAATGTGAATCTGATCAAAGAAGTGTGGATTAACGCGCCTAGCAAGGGTCTGTTTCAGTCATGTTACTCAGTAGCGCCGTGCGTCTGCCGGCTGTGCCACAGGCCGACATGCAGCTAAGGTGTCAGTGCGTCCAATTGCGGGACATGAGTGCCACTTCAATCGTTGATGGCAAATGTCGCATGTGCAACCCTGTTATGATGATTGGAGCAAGCGCAAGCCAATGTGAGAACTGAGAACACCAAACCCGTTTCCCAAGACTAGTGGACGATTGTTAAAGAAGGGGCAAGGGTGCGGGCAAGATTTAAGTGACTGTCTAGTAGTATGACAATGTGAAATATTTAGCGGTCTCCATAATACGCAAAGGGGTATAGGTTTAACTTTCAGAAAGCCCCCCTTCTCCCCTCTGATATAGATAGCATCAACTAAACTAGCATATAGTGTGAAGCCAAGCGACGAGAAACAAACAAGTGTGTGTCAATTAGGCGGCTACACTACACAAGCCAGGGGGGGGTTTGATTGGTTGATAACTAGCTGATGTCACAGCTAGGTGCAACTGAGATACATAAAAGTGTGGTTAGATTAGACGCTGCGGCACTGTATTAATTTAATATTCTTTTAATAGAACATATCAAGCCTATCAATCCTTTGGTAGATAAGTGTGATTATTTGAGGCTGCCATCTGTGTATTAGTCCTATTCTTTGTATATAAACCATGACAATCCTTTAGGCCTGCCTTATTCTATGAAAGTATCATATTTATCAAAAGTGAATCAATTCAAGATCTCAACTAAGTTTGGATTTGCTTTACAACAATGCATCTCTATTATATTACATTGATTGACACTGGTTATAAGTCTGAGTACGATCTCTCTTCATGGGTGCCCTCCAGAAGTCAAGGATTCGTATTCGACGTCCCTGAATCATCTTGTACTCTTTTGTTGTACAAGCATAACCGGTCAATAGAGCAAAATCAGACTCTGGGCCGTTGTTGGAAAGGAGTAGTAAGTGTTCTTTGAATAGTGTCATTGAATTGAAGGTTAATGATATAACGTAGAGGAACATCACAAAACATTTCTCCGCAAAGACACCGTCGACCTGTTGGTGTGGCTTGTTAATAAGACACGAGCCTAGTCTGAGTCGTTTTTGGCGTTGGAAGAGACCAGAGAATCGAATAGTCAGGCCCTGGTATATGCTCTTTGGCAGAGAAATAAAAAGTTGTGACTTGTGTTGTAGTGAGTGCATTGAGAATATAGTAGCCGAGAGCGTGATGTCGGAAGCGTTTCTTTGTTGGAACAACGCCTTGGCCTTATAGAGGCTCTTTGGATACATTTGGAAAGGTGGACGGGTCTGGAAATCTAAGTGGCGAAATAATGTGGTTTCAAATCGGTTACAAAATATAAATGTATCTCTTGGAGTCACTAAATGATTTTTTTTTCAATTTCGGTGTTCTTTCTGCCAAGGCTGCAGCTCTTCTGTCAAGTCTAGATTTCCGGGACATATCCTTGTCACGTCGCTCAGAGACCCTTGGCACTTCGACAAAATGAGCGTTACGCAGCCACGCGGGCTTACAGTGGTGATCACCCCTGTAACTGAGGAGCGGGCCCAAGGGACTAAGAATTTGCTGGGTCACACAAACGCTGATTCATGGTCTGTTGGTCCGGCGAAAGGCCTTCCGGCTCTTTGTGGTGACGACGGCCTTCCCAAGAAGCAAAAGGTGCAGTTTAAGGAAACTGTACCTAACGTTCTCATTTCAACTTTGAAATAGAAACCCCTAGTGTCTAGCTAATGAAGGAAATTGAAATCAGAAATGATAGAATTCTGAATCACGGAAACGCTAAACCATTACAAGAAGGAGCACACTCTTAGTGATACAAGGGATAATATGTCCGTTTCGATGACTTACGCAGGAATTGTAAAATCAAATTCTGTCAGTTTCAGATATATCCTCAAAAAATGATTCTGCATTGTTGTTCTAGTCTATTTTCATCAGGAGTCTATATAAGAGCAGAGTCTGATCTATCTAATTGATATTCGGAAGTAAAATCAACATGGCTTTTATAAAACAACTACTTGTTATTGTTCTCTTCACTGCTAGATTACATGCACTTACTTTTCAAGAGTCTTATGGGCAAGTCTGAATGACAAGACACATATGGAAGTACTAATTTATTAAAATAGAACCAATGGTGATGTTAGATTCGAGGCTGTCGTCACCAACGGAAATTTAGGAGCTATTTCAGTGCTGCTTGACTTTACACCTATCACGCAAATGGCCACACTCACGATTGATCCAGCTCAGACGGGAAACCTCATTACAGGCACAGCGTATCCGAGCACCCCAGACAAAATTAATAGAAACACAGACAATATATGTACAACTACCTTACCTACTATTTCAAAAGAAACCTCTATTCCAGATGGAGCTAGAGACAGGAGTTATCCAGCGTTGGGCCCAACGACCACACATTATGTCCAAGTTGGGGCCCACAATCAAACTCTTTTTAGCCCAAATCAGCTTGACGCGGCAGTTGGTGATATTGTCGTTTTCGAATTCCATCGATTCAACCACACTATATCGGAATCCACTCTAGACAAGCCATGCGAAGCTTCAGGAGGGTTTGATACAGGGTTTAATCAAGCCTTCTCAAATAGCACCAAGACGCCCGTGGTAGCCTTTAGCGTTGGTGATTCGGCACCACGGTGGTTCTTTTGTAAACAAGAAATCAACAAATCTCATTGTTCCGCCGGAATGGTGTTTGGACTCAATCCAGGGGAGAAGATGAATGAGTTTCTAGACAACACACGAGACAAGATTGGGACTCAACCATGTACGCTTAACGTTTCATCGAATTGTGTAGGACCCCAATTCAATGCAACGCTAAGTGGGAATGGTTCAGGGTCACCGACTTCAGAATCACAACTCTTGCCCATCAGCAGCCCAGCTTCTAGTGGAGTGAGTCGGCTCCGCCATCGAAGGGGAGCCTCACTTTGGGGCATTATCGGTGCGGCTGGGATGGGAGTGGCGTAAAGACGGATCAGGTGGTGGGGATTTAGAGATTGATGTAAACCCAGATTGATGTAACATTAGATATAGGTACTGGCTATCTATATATGATATTGATCCTATTGATCCGTTAGCAATTGAAGCATGCAAAAGAAACAGAGAATGTAAGATGTATTGCTAAACTGAGCACAAAGGATGGATGGAAGCCTCATACTTACAGATGAGGCCCAGCAAAATCACAACACTAAAGCGGGTACTTGCGGACTTGAACTTTTGTTGGACCAAAAGGACCGCGGCCCTCGAAGGACCCATGAAATAGCTTATGTCTGACAACTTTTTACAACCTTTACATGTTTAACGCAAGTCTTAAACAGAGCCAATCACGGGATAAGGGCGATCGCGTGGTGTTAGGAACTGGAGTATGCAAGGGAAACAGAGCATGTCAGGGAGTATTACTAACTGAGCGCGAGGAACGCAGACAGATGGGAGCGAGCCTTATACTTATATGGGGATCGCACACAAGAAAGGCAGAATCTTCTGTGATATCAGCACTGCTAGAAGGATCCATCTATCACTTCGCCAAGAGGACAACCCTATATCTAGTAGATAGACAGTAGCTGACACTGGGCACTGAAGTAGAGTATGAACCCAGACATGAACCCAGACCGTAGGCCAATCCATCTCCGCTCTTCTCTTTGTCTCTGGCTATGTAGGGGCGATATGCTGGCTTGGTAGGAAGGAAGAACGTAAACGTCAATATATGCCGAAGAAACCACGGTTATTGACATCTTAGATCCCTGTGATCCGTGGAGAAAGATGGTTCTGATATCAGATGTCCTGAACTGATGACGTAGTAAGATTTCGAATAAGGACGGTCAGGGTCTTCGGATGCTCGTACTACTTTGATGTTAGTGAAAGGATTCCTGGATGAGGACCACCTTACTTGGGAGACTGCTTCCAGCTCTGTCGGACTGAAGTACAACAGCTCGTCTAGGTTGGCAATGTTGCAGTCACGAATGTAAGCATCAACCTGGTTCCATATCCATACACCAGCCTCTCCTTGTAGTTCTGGATGGAGTGCTTTCAATGTCCGTAGCTTTGTCCCAATACCTCCTGGGGTCCTGCCTTCAACGCCCATCTTGCACCGAAGAAGCGCCGTACAAGAACGATAATTGAAGCCCCGAGAAGCAAAATGAAGCACGATGACCAGTTCTTCAGGAGTCCAGTTATTACCAGGCATAGTGAAAGATGAATTGAAGCGAGACACATGCTACTATTTCTGTACCGACTGATCTTTATAACTACGATCGCATTCTGCCACCAAGTGGTAGCCGCTAAGTAAGAACCTAACTTTATCATCGATCATCACCGTCCACGATTGAAGCTCCTCTAGGTACTTTGCGTGCCGTTCAAGTTTCCTGTTGAGTAAATTGAGCCAATAGAAGATGCCTGTTGGAGACACTTACGCATTGCGGATCATCACCCTGATTATTTTTAGCGATCGAAAAGATTCCAAGGGTAGCGAGAAAAACACATACTCGTTCCGTAGTTCAGTGAGCTGAGCAACAATATCCTTACACCAATGGGAGAACTGTCCAGACGCCGCTGGATCGTCTCTCTGCAAGGTTGCGGCGTCTTTCTCGTTGGGCGAGTTGGGGTTCACATTCTGAGAAGCCGGAACTTCACTAGCAGAGGACGTGCCCAACCACTGATTCGAAGCCGATGGGTGTTGGTCTGGGGTATCAATCGATGGATCGCTTAGGGCGGCTGTTGTCTCAGGAGCAGGTGGCTCGTGCACATTATTGGCATTTTCCGACAAGGGTTCCAGCAGGTGAAAGCCTGGAAAGTGTCCCGTCAACGCAAATGCGTCACTTTCAAGCATTTCCTGAATGCCCACAAAGCCGCATTTGCTGCCGTCAGTTTCATGCTCAACCGAAAACGTTGAATTGAAATCCTGCTTTAGAAACGCATCCCAGTCGAAGTCTAAACATGGGTCAGGGTCCATGATACTATTGTAGTGATTCAGCGAATTTGGAACAAGCGGGGGGATTGCGGCACTAGCAACCTAGGTAGCTGATAAGGGTGGGGAACAAAATAAGGATGAACTGTCTTTGTGAACGTCAATATTCACCTCCCTTAAATATACCTTAATTGAGATATCATGGGTGATCGTTCTCGTTTCACGATGTTTCAATATCTGTTTCGTGTCGCCAGCCATGAAAGGTGATGTATAAGACGTTCAGGGGAATTCACGGTTACAAATCTTGGCCCCACCGTTTATGTCAAATTTAGGGCCGGAGGGTACGGCGGACTATTACGTGCTAGAGCCCAGGCTCAGTAGAGAGCCTTCTGTTCCAGGTAGCGCTTTCAACAGAAAAGAGACCCACGGCCATTCGTCAAAGACATCGATGGAGGGTGACGCTGCCGACAAGCGCAGATTCACTTACGTTGTGACGTTTGAGGAATGTCCGTATAATCGTGGTCGACACATGTTGGTATCTGGATTGAGCGCTTATGTTTATTGATATTGCTTCGTTTTGGTGTATATAAGTGCCATTCTTCCGGCTCTTCAGATTTCATCCAAATTCCCTATTGTGCTCTATCCTCTCGAACCAATCCTACCAACCATCGAAGCCACCAGCATGGCTACCACAACCTCAGTGAGTCTGACCCTGTCAATCAATGAGCCCAAGAACTCACTATTTTAGGGTGACAAGGGCTGTGACCGATGTGAGAAGGTAGGCAATTGGGACTTTCTCCGCGAGTTCTATGCTCGTGATGAGACCAATCGACTACACACCCAGGATCTTGAGATGCGGAACCTAGGCTTCATTCAGCAGATACAACATGTGAGCACGATCAATCAGCAAAACGCGGAAACCATCCAGACCATCCAGAACCAATATGTGCAGCTTGAGGACTTGTACTTGCAGTCACAGGCTACCTGCAAAATGCTTGAACGAGATGTTGATGGACAACGTCAAGAGAAAGAGACCACGTCTCTAAGACTGGAACTGGAGCAGAATTATCATAGAAAAACACGGATTCAGCTCGACAGTTACTGGAAGGTCACCGAGAAACTTAGCGACCTACTATCCGACACGTGGGCACATTTGAAGGACGATGACAGCCCGGCACCAAATATTGGAGCGGTTTTGCTAGAGAACGAACAGCAGCGATGCAAGATTGCAGAGCTCGAAGCGTCAATAAAGGTTTTGCTAGAGAATGGAAAACAACGATGCAAGGTCGCAGAGCTTGAAGGGTCGACTACGCCCTCTAAAAACAAACGATCGCCTGACCAAGCAAACCTGGAGGTACATCACCCAAGCGCATTGAGGCCGGGTAAACGTCGGCCTGAACCAATCCTAGCCCCGGCAAAATGAACACAAAAAGTGTGGTGGAATCTGAGGTACCCATTTTTAGAAATTGCGAATCTGTATTATCTGCTTTTGTATTTAGGGTTTAAATTAGTGTTTTCAAGTATATGTGTGCCAACAATGCTCTTCCTCACCTATCTCCATCTCAAAATGGAATTGCCATCAAATGGGTCGAGACGGGAGACTTTCTTTCCTACAAGTGTAGATCAAGGGCAGCCTTTACAACCCACAAGTCATGATCAACAGCAGCCTACGCAGCCGGCCAAACTCAAACGTCGAGTTGATGGTAGCCCATTACCCCCGAGGCTGCCCTTGCCAGTCAATCCTTACGCCTCCCAATGGAATACAACGTCGGTAAAGCGTCTATTCACAAGCTTCTGCAAAAGTGGAAGCCCGTGGAGTCAATACTTTCCCATTTTTTCCGACCAACAAGCTGGCCCTGTGACAGTGGTGCATGAGAATCGTCCAGATTTCCCTGTGTATGCCATAAAGGAGAAGAGACTCGAAACAAATGATAAGCCCTCAAGGCTGCTGAAAATCAGCCACCCACAGATAGTACCTCTCCATGCTGCTTACACCAAGAACTCTCAACTATTTCTCGTCTATGAGGCCATGGATGTCTCCCTTAAGGAAATCCAATGTTGTCCTTATGGCCCGCTCAAAGAATTCGAAATGGCAACGATCTGCCGTGAAATCATTCTGGGCTTAGAATACATCCACTCAGAGTTACGATTCTCCTACGGAAGGCTCTCGCTTGACAATGTTCTGCTAACCAGACATGGAAATGTAAAAATCGGTGAGTTCTACCCGTCAGTAGCAAAAGCAGCGGCTTAGGAAGATTTAGCCAATGTCGCAGAAGGAATCTTGTCTGCACAGACAAATTTTGAGGCTGACGTTAAGTCACTGGGTACTTTTACGATGGCATTGATGGAACCTGGCATGGATACCACGGATAACCTCGAACTTGAAAGCCCGAATCAATGGGGCAAGGAGATTCGGGATTTTCTACGGCTGACACAACAAGAAACCTTGGCAGTCTTGAAACATGTACTAGTGCTCCTCAAATTCCATTTCCTTGGCTGATAGACTAAATATAAAACAGCATATATTTCTGGATTTCTCCCCAGGAGTCGGCTGTTTAGTACCCTATGTGCAGGTCGCCTCGCGCACTTCAAAGGGTTCTTAAACTTTGATCATCCAGTCCTGCAGAATGAATCCTCTACCTCGCAATCTAACTGAGATCAGTTCCGTGGACCATCGTATTGCCTCTGCCGGCGGCCTTACAACCACGACTGAGAGACTTCCACACAATCAGAAGGCAAAGAAGCCACCCTCCAACTTACATCAGCGAATCGAAGAGTTGGTACGTGAGAACGGCCGTCTCAGGCAGGAAGTCTGTCATGCACAGGAACAGGCTAGGGCGTTATTATCGCTATACACAAAATCTGTTGATGCACAGCGTATACTTCGAGAAGCGACTCAGGCAACTTCAGATCGCTTGCTACGTTCGGACAATGAGCTGATGAGGTATTTTGGTGTATGCTTAGATGATACAGTACAAAATGACTTTACTGTACTGTAGGAGTTAAACTTGCAACCTGTTCTATTTATAC